TCCTGACTTATTTACGTGCCATGATCTATGTGTTAAATTATCTTAATGTATTATTAAAGTGAAGATCCATAAAAATTTAAAATGCCTTACATGTGTACTTCCCTTCCCTTTCACATGTGTACTTGCTACTCAAACAAAAACTATGAAGGAAATACTAACCTAAAAACATTTTGAACTCAACGAGTTGAATTTTGCGCAATGAGAAATTATTTTGATGCAACATCATTAAAATTTTACAAGTCGCCCTCATAAACTGTGGGTACAAGTTCACTGTCATAAATTTACGAATACTGGGTTAAAGTATTTAAAATCTAACGGAAATTGTCTTGTCGACATACACTTTTCAGCCAGTGTACCACAACAAAAGCATGAAAATGCTTTATGCTGAATAAGTTCAAAGCGAAATTCAACAGAATATAGGTTTTAGATCACAGGATCAGTTATCACTTACACCTATACAGACTGAAGAGAAAAATTCACAAAATATTCCGATGCGGCTCGCATGCTTATGCATTCGTAACCTACATATTCCACACACCTCGATCGTCTTGCGATAGGAGATTTATTACGACAGCATAAATATCTCCCACTAATTTACATATAATTTGCATAAATTATTAAAGATAATTTAATACAAGTATTTATTTTATTTCCATTCAAATTAAGTTAAATTAGGTATTTTTTCTTTTGGCACTTATTCCAAGCAATTTGGTTAATTCCACAACAAGTCAATTAGATCGTTTAGCCTATGCGGCTAACATTTGTAGAACAAAATTCTTTTACACATATTACACGTCTGAGTTATTTACGAAAATATGTAAATATAAATTGTACAAATCTGTGTCAGAAATTACAACGAAAAAAGGAAAAAGGCCACTTCTCGACGGCTAAGAAAGCTTGTCAATTCGCCACTCAAGGCCAGCAACTGAAACCGTTGATAAATAAAAATAATAATTATTATTCATGCAATAAATAAACGCAACTAGCGAAGTGGACCAGAGGCGAAGATAAAGTTGGTCAACTAAGTTTCACTATTTGCATTTGCATTTAGCCTTTCGCAGTGCAGCGTAGATACAAGATACAAGACGAAGTTAGCTTGCAACAAGAATGTGAGAGATACTTGACGGCGACATACGCATGCATACTCACAAATGACATGCGTGTTAGTCGGCATTTTTTATTGACTATGAAAATTGTAATAGAGGCTTTTAATTAGTTGAAATCTTTTCAATCTAAATGGTTTAGATAAGAAATAATTATTAAAAGTATTAAATGTAGTAAGTATTTAATATATTAATGTGGCATAGGCTTTGCAATCAATAAGTTGAAAAGCAGGTCAATTGATATAAATATCATTTTAAATAAGTAGTGCTACTACATAAATATTCATAGTTTCAATTAAAAGATGATCAAAGTAATTTATTTTATTTATGCATATTTTCATATCCTAACTGTAAAATACATATCGAAATTATGCAAAGATATCAATCTAGTATATTCAGGCTAGGCTAATTGCAAAGACACTTGCCTTTTAAGTCTTGCGCCCAACAATTAAAATACACTGGTTAAGCGGTAAAAATGGTTTTATTGTTTCTTATTTTTTTTATTTTTTGAATAAATAATATTTATTAAAACCTAAAAATACGCATATCGACTATGCCTAGTGACATCCATATACACTTAAAATAGAAATGTGTGACACACATATACATATCTAAGACGTCTCTCGAAGTTTTTCTTCTCAACCTTGTAAAAATATTGAAGGGGGACAACGGCATGCAACCAGCTGGTTTGGGTGCATATATATGCGATGAGCGTAATTCCGTATAATACGAGATATTTCTTCCTTAATTGTCGGAACATGTAGTTGTTTATCTAAAGCCCTATTTATTGCTCATTAACACAGATAGAATCGATCGATAGTGAGAGTTGGTGACATCGCGATTAATTGGGAGAGGGAATTGGGAGTATTTGAGAGCATCAAATACTTGGGGGTCACGTTTGATAAGCGCTTCACTTGGCACAAGCACATACAAGTCAAAAGAAGTAGTTGTGCAAAAACACTACAATGCTTACAATCACTTTTCAAACACAACAACCTTAGCGCGAGGAACAAAAAGCTGATCTACAGCAAGATAATCAGACCAGCACTACTCTATGGGTGTGTCACGTATAGCAAAGCTGCCGACTCTACTATCCAAAAGCTGTAACTTGCTCAAAGTCAGACTTTTCGAAGACGCTTCAAAGTGTCATGGTACATCCGCACTAATGATATGTTAAGAGACCTTAGAATAGATCCGGTCAAAAAATACATAAGAGACAGAGCCCTGAAGCTATATGCGAAAACCGATAGACTGTCCTACTTAGCACTATCTAATCTCAGAGTAATCAATAACCGGACGGGGCGATACGCAGATCTTAGATCAGTCATGGAATAATCACGAAACTTATGAAGAATACACAAATTAGTCAGTGAGATTGGTGGAAATCTGCAGAAACCCCCCAGCTTTCAAAGAGTATAAATGCCCAAAGTTCTTTATGAAGCTGTTCATTCATTATATACCAAGGTGCATTTATGATCATGCATAGTGTTTTACATTGGAAACGCTGATTAATTGCCCAATTTAAGTCTGCTCCAGTGCCGTATAATTACACTCCATAACTCCATGTGGATTTTAATGCAATTTTTTATATAAGCACCTTATTATCAAATGACAGTTTGGAATTTCGACTGAGGAACCAGAATCAGTTTCGCCATTTGAGACCAAATGTATTCTCCATGATGATCAATAGATTTTTGCATTCAATTGAACCTATTTCCGAAAAAGTTTAGCCACTCTGAAGTTGGTATCTCCAACTAGGGATTAAAATGTCTCCACCAGCTTTCGGGCGTAGAAAAACACTCATCATGCATTTTTTTCTTAATATCTGGGAAGAAAAGTCAATGGGTACCAAGTCAAGACTGTAAACCTGCTTTACTTGAGCTGCTGTGTGGGAGCTCGCATTATTGTGGTGATGGATGATCTTCCTTCAACGCCTATATTATGCGTCACAAATGTAAACTATGTGTTTTTTTTAAGAAGTAAAAACTGATGAATTAGTTGAATAGTTGAATTATTAATCTAATTCTTATTAAATTCAAACATATACAAAGTCCTTTAAGTTTAAAACTCAAAAATAGCCTGGCGTTATAATGATAAAAACGACTAATTCCTGTTTGATCCAACATATTCCAATCATTTTCTAATCAAAACATTATTCAAATATATCAGGTATGTTTCTAGAGTTCTTCTATAAAAACTTAGCCAGGTTTCCATAGCTCTTATTAGATGAGACTCCCGCTAAATACTAAAAATTATCTTAGTACCGTAAATATACAACTTTTCTATCGATTTCGATGACACACTTTTGATTCATCAAATAAAAAGAATTTCTTTTTTGCTCCGGATACACGACTTTGGTGTCATTTGGATGATTAGACGGGCTTGCATTATAATTTTCTCAATTAAGGCCCTTATCCATATCATAAGATTCGGTGCAAAATTGATTTTTAGGCAAAATTGGATTTCGATGTTTCTCGACTTCAAGTTATATTTACTTCTCAATATTAGCAATAATTTGATACAATAATAATCTTTTTCTGAAACGTATTCAAGCAGTATTTTAGATAGAGAAAATTGCATTTTGATGTCTCTCAGTATATGGGTCTGATTTTTTTCCTTTTAAATGCATTTCATCCTTTTTAGAGTTCAGAAACTACTTCTTAATACGTCTACAAATGCTTTTTGTGTTGCTTCCAATTCTTCATCCACAAACTCTTTTGGTTAGTCAAATCCTTCATTGTCTTTAGTGTCAAATTCAAACCACTTTTAAGGCATTGAAATTATGTAACACACTGTATTCTTACTATAGTATTATCATAAACTTCCATCATCAGTTTCAGTCGTAAAAATGTGACTTAACAAATATTTTAGTAAATGCTATTCATTTTCCTAATTTGTCCACCATAAAAAAAATGGACTCACGATGGAGTTATTCTCTTACTGAATGTTAATACTTTAAGTGAGTTGGATCATCTAAGTCCGCTGTTGTTGTGATAAATCTAATTTTCATTTGAGTACCATTGAATTCCTCTAATGTGGCAACTATAGCGAGCAGTAAAAATACCCAAGTGGAGCTGAAAATAGCTCGTCCACCACCAATTATGGTCTCTGAAGATTATAAATACTCAGAACTGCAAGCTGTTGTAAAAAGTAACTGCAAGAAAGATTTTTTTATTAAGCTCCTCAATAGCGGTACTTATAAAATCAGTACATTTGAAATAGGCGACTACAGAGCTGTTACAAAAGTGCTGTCTTCAAAAAAAGCTGCCTGGTATTCGTATGAAAACAAGCATCTCCGACCATTAAAGGTTATTGCAAAAAATCTTCCTCATTCATGTGACCCAGTCGATATCGTATTCGATCTGAAACAGCAAGGTTTTAAAATCGTGAACGCGGTCAACAAATGGAAATCACATTCAAAGATTCCACTTAATATGTTCATGCTTACATTTGAGGCGACAGAGGATATAAAAAAAATATGTAACATTAAAGCTATTTTAAACTGTGTTGTTAAAATTGAACCAATAAAGCACTCAAAGCAAATACCACAGTGTAAAATATGCCAAGCGTATGGTCACACACAAAATTATTGCGGCAAATCAGCCCGGTGTGTTAAATGTGCTGGCAGTCACAGTACTGCAGAATGCAACAAACCTGATCAGCACCAACCAAAATGTTGCAACTGCGGTGAGGGACACCCGGCCAATTACAGAGGTTGTATAGTAGCCAAAGAA